TCGTTGATTGGACCAAATTCATAGACGAGGAATTACAAAGAAATAACATAAAATCTGTACGCATCGCACAGCTAGTGGAGATCGTGGTTCAGTGGGTAAAAAACGCTAGCATTTGAAGTAGTCGATCGTAGGTTCGAGTCCTAACAACTTTGTAAATCGGTAAGTGGTCAAGCTGCAAGTTCTACTTGTTAAGTTTTCATCAACATTTATATGTATCAAGTTTTCAATGTAGCCATTGTGTTGTGTAAAGTATAAGAACTTTAAAAAGCGAAGAAAAAATATGTCAATCAAGAAAATTTTCTCCTCGACAAATTCATTTACTTAACACATACAATCGTGTTTATAAATATTGAAAATCTTTTATTGTATAGAACTTTTAAAACTCAATCAAATGGATACTCTACTATGATCCATTTTCCGATTTTGTTTTACCTGATGACCTCAAGGGAACTAATACTTTCTAAAAGATTTAAATGTGTATCAATGAGTACTGAGACCAGAAACTTTATCAACAAGTTAGGTTGTTCGATGCATTCACGAATTATGGGATATCATAGAGTAGTCAATCCTGTTGAGTGAAAATAACATAGACGAATAATTGAAAAACTCTACTCTGTGTGTGCGTTCATGAATAGTGCCTTTCAAGTAAACATGAATAATTAGGTCTTATAATTCGGGTGAAATATCACCGGAATACCTGACCATATTGTACTTAATCCTTGCGTAATGTTTTCACTATGTACTACACTAGTCAGTTTATCATTTTATGACAGTGAAGCCTTCTTCGTAAGATAAGTGATCCGATATCATTAAGAACAATAAATTATCTACTACAGAGGAGTCCCATTTTATCACTTATTATTTGTCCCTTGGGTTCCTAGTGGAACACAGGGCTTCAGTAGCACGTCTCCATTTCACTCTCTACTCTGAAGTCTTTTGAACCCGGCTCCACCACTGCCGAGAAGCTTCATTTCTTCCTCACATGATCTCCTCCATGTCACCTTCAGCTAGGATACCTAACTCGCCGTTTCCCCTTTGCATTCCACTCGACAGCCTGGCCTGGTGCGTGATGTCTCCGAATGGTCTTCTCAATGTATGCCAAATCCATCTCAACTTTCTTCTGCATATTTGTTGGGCGATGGGTTTTTGGCTGGTTCGTTCCCAGAGTTCCAGAAAGATCAGTTAGATAGTGGTAAAACAAAAATGGTTACTTTTATACTGTGAGTAACTATCCTACGATGTGGGTTCAAGGTCGACGTCGTACTGTTGCCTGTACGGGGTGAGGAAGTAGTGAGGTGTTTCCTTTGAATGACCAGCAGTACCATGTTGGTGCTACCTGATCTGTGATGGTTCGCTGCCGGTGGTACTAGTTTTTCTTGTCTGGCGTTAGCACAGTGAAATCTTATTTCAACAATCCTCAAACATTTCCTGTTGAAGGCCTTAAGCAGACGTTCCATGAGCTCTGCGGTCACGTACCTTGCACGAACAAGTTTCATAACGTGGGCAGCCGAGAAGGACAACCGTACTCGCGCTTCCAGAACGCAGAAACTAGTAAAACATAATATGCTCTCCTTTGCCTTCACTTCCTGAAACTAATATCAAGCCTCTGACAACCCCCGCTACCTCTCAATATGGCTAACAACCCAAGCCTGTGAAGCATCATTCCTAGTCTCTTAAAAAACATGCTATCAGTTTCACCTTGGAACTCTCAATGTCAGAATCCCATGTCGGAATGACTAACAGATGCTTCTGGCCGAAACTCTGGAATCTCGAGTCATTGGTGTATGCCCTGTTTCTAAGGCAGGCATACAAAACCCAAATGTGGTTATCCACTTGCTCCCACCTGACCAGTGCACTAAATATTCAAAATTCTCCATACAAGTGTCCGGAGATTCAGTAACTAGTTGCCATAGACTCAGAGGGGTGTCTGGTCTTACCTTCTCGAGTAGAAATCACACTTTTCGACTGGATACCAATCAACAGCCATCATTGTGCTGTTAAACTGGATGGGTCTGTAAGAACTAGGAAGGATTGTAAGACTAGCCAATGCCTATTTGTAAACTACAACGATGCGCCCACCGATTGCAGTTTGGATGATGCAAAGTATCAGTCCTATCAAAACTGTCGATTTCATTACAAAAAATAAAACTTCAAGATATAGTCAAACTAGCAAGCGACTTTACGTTCCAGTAAGAAAGTTGGACCAATCGGGAAGAAGTTCTTAAGTTACATACCAACGAACTGTTAACGGTGATAGTCTCTTGCGATTCTCTTCTAACAACCACTTGTTTCTCGCCAGCACTAACTTTTAGCATAAGGATAGACGCTGTCTCACTTGGTATCTGGCAACACCAAACTAACGATGGACACAGATTGGTAATATTGCTATAAGCCGTGGGTGAAGAACTGACGCTCTTTCTGTAGCACCTGTTTAGAATCCGATCATGCGTAAGTACGGACGTATGTATGCTTGCACCATGCTGTCTGATAAAACAGGCACCAGTTAAGCCTGCATATAAACGAATACAATGATAGAATGTCAACTACTTACTTAGGGTGGGAGTACGTGAGCATTATTCTGCAAGTGACAGCAACGCTTATCCTAAGGAAAGCTGTGAGAATGGTGGTAAAGACAGTCGGTGAAAACCTAAGACCAAAGGTTGGTAAATGTCAATGGATTTCTGTAACGTCATCCGAACTGATTTATGCAAGAAGACTCATCCCAAACGGCTCTAATCACAATGAAGAATAAAAGCAACTTAGATGTAAATTGACTAAGGATGTTTGCAATGGTCATGAGCAGTGGTGGGTAACAAAAGCGAAAGGGATGGAGAAGGCATTAGCGTTGGATAGTAACTGGCAACTATTTAGGCTTATTAAGGATACCGGCAGGATGATGGTTAGTGAAACCATCATCGAAAAGGATAGGAAGCTAATAGCCTCTTAGGACAAATGGCTAGAACGTTGGGCAGTGGACAGTTCAACTGACCCACAGTAACGCTTCAGTTGCCCGACTTCTAACCTGAACTGGACGTGGATATCCATCCTCCAGTTCTCTAAGATACTGAGAAGGTTATTTCAAAACTAAGATGACGTTTGGCAGCCGAACCCGATATTTTACCACCAGAAGCTCTTATGAAAAAATGTCGGGATTTGCTGACTAAAGTGACGGAGGTACCAGGTAGCCTATGGGAAGCAGGCGTATTCCCGTCCAACTGGTCTGCTCCACTGATCATTCCAGCCTATAAGAAAGAAAAGGAGTCTAGTGAAAACAACAGGAAGGTCAGTTTGACTCATATCACGTCCAACATCTTAAAGTTAATACCCGTCCGACGCCTAGCTGGAGCTCAAGAACAGAAAACTCGAGAAAACCAGGCAGACCAGGGCCGAGTGCATCGTTTAGACCTTCAATACGTTCCGTAATACAGGCACACTTACTGGCAGTTAACACTTTCCACACTTCCAGACCAGAAGGCGGCATTTGACTCCGTCAACCTTGAGATGTTGTGGCAATATGTGACTGTGTAAGGAGTACCGAGGAAGTATGCTGCGCTAATCAAAGCTGACTACTCGAACTCTGTAGTCATGTAAGGGGGAGTTGTTGTCTGAAATGAAGAAAACTAATGGTGTCCGCCAGAAATGCTCATTGTCCCCGTTCCTGTTTAACTTCGTTATAAGTATACTGATAGGCATGATCCTACGTAGCTCTGACTTTGCACTGACCTACCCCCAGAAGGATACCCGACTGAATAATTTATGCAGGTGTGTCCTGTCAGGTGTAGATGCTTGCAAGAGCAGATATATGGGTATGTTTGGCATCTTGCAAAAGTAAAGTGAAGCTTCAGGGCTAGTCACTAGCTAAACCCACTTCAAGGATAGGACGCGAATTGGCAGAATGCGTCAACCACTGTGCTTGATTGGGTTGAATGTTGACAGGGTCTCAGTTAGGAAACAGAAGGTCCATTTCGCATTTGCCAAATTGCATTATATCTGGCACCGACTGGTGAAGTGACTGGAGAACCTTGGTGACATGGCTGAAAATCAGTCAGACAGGACACAGGTGTATTCACTCTGACGTTTTCGAAAGTTTGAACATTCTTACCAACATTCATTTTCCGAATTCCTTCTTACAAACACTCTTCTACTTTAATAACAATCTTTTCAAACCAACTTGTTCTTTGAATGCCTCCATTAAGTGTGGTAACCTGAACCAATGCACTCTTCTGTGTGATTATCTACATCGATTTTTTCTGTCTGAAATATAACATTTCTCACTGTGGTTTCATCACAAGTAAGCAGTGCTATGAAGATGTGGTTGAAAGCCCGTGGCCTAAAAATGTATTGAACTTTCAACAGACATTCAACACAGTCATAAAAAAGGATAGAGTGGGATGCTGTGCAGCATACTCGTCCTTCGATTTGTGGCTGAATGTGTCGATGGCGCCAGAGGTAGTGTAAGTTAGCATATAATAAAGTGGTATCTTGTATCTGATCGGAAATATCATCAGCAATCAGCTGATTAGGGCCGATGCAACTCCTCAAATAAGTAAAGTAGTCAACATATTTCACCACTTTACTTACTACCCTTAAACCAGGGATCAGTACAAACAATTTCTAAAGCGTGATGTTAAATTTGACAGGCTTACAACGCATGCCAAACGTACTCGGATGTTTCCTTAGTGCTATCAGAACAGAATATTCCAATGATGTCTTAGCCCAGTACAACCGTATTATATGCGTAATTTATGTTGACTAGATGACCTCCACGTAGAATATTGACTTCTGACAATTCGACGATAAATATTTTCGCATCTATCAATACTTCCATAACAGCATGAAACAAGATTGGTGGTGTGGGTGCAAACAATAACTTTGAAATATACAGTATCAGAGAAGTATGCCAAAAATGTACAATCAGACAAAATTATTATCTTCACAACTTTTTTGAATCAACAATCGGAAAAATATAAAATACTTCTAGTAGAACTATTTTTATTGCATCATTCAGGTGGGACATATTTAACTGCTTTCTTCGATGCTTTTGGGAGGCCAATCATTTCGCTATCATAGTATACATTAAACTGATGACGTCCACGTTGCTCATAAATATGAGTCCCATCAGGTTCAATTCTAATAGGTAGTAAACCTAAATAAAATAGAAAATTTATTGAGAAGTCATATTTTTGTTTAAGGTCGATACAAACAATTACTTGACATAGTTTTAGAAATCTTATTTAATCAACTAAAAGTAGTTTTTATCGACGTAAAATAAAACTTACTTGTTAGTTATATCAAGATAATAACATTCGGTAGTGAGGCGTAAGTTAAACTACACTAGAAAATGCTTAACCTCCGACTTGAGAACTTATTGTATGAGATACTCAAATCAAAATTTTATGTTTCTGAAATTCGGTCATTATTCCCTTAGAAAATATGTTCAACTATGATGAACTAAACCATACATACTTAAAACAGCCTGTCTGTTCACTAAACTTAAATAAGATAGCAAGACAAATATTGAGAGATGATACCATTTTGTAGTTTCTCTACAACCGTATAAAAAATAAAATCTTTTGCCATGACAGATTACTCTCCAGTTTTCCGAAGTTATATGAGACTAAACGACCTCAGTAATCAATCATTATCGTAAATCAATTAGTCCAGTGTAGACAAAGTCAACTGAGATGGCCTGGACATGTACTGCCCATGCCGAACCACCGATTACGACAATGTCCCAGGCTAGGGAAAGCTGGATTAGCGGCTTCAGGATGGCTAGACAAAGACGTGGCTTCATTTCATGAAGTTCTTGACTATTGGTCTAAGTTGTATAGGGAGATGTAGACTGACTGGTTAGGGTCCCCGAGACTTAAGGAATCAGCGGTTGAGAACTCCTGGTGACAGCTTGATGTCGGTCACAATGGCGTAGATGTATTCATTTCTTGATATCTAACTTCAGATTGTTTATTCTCTCATACCACTTTTTTTGTTTGATATTACTCTGCCTATCCATTTGTTTTTTGTATACCATTGTGAAGTGTGGCAATTCGAGCCGATGCACTTGTGTGCGAGGCTCTACGTTGATTTTGTCTGTCTGACATCCATTATCTCGCGAACAGTTTTAGATATACAACAATAATAATCCACATATCCCACATATCTGTATGTGATGAATCCAAAGTGCTTCTGTCACCGGCAATAACCTTGAGTTGAAGCTGTAGCGTATACACTTCCCCAAAATCAATAGCCTAGGGTTGGACGATTTTCGACATTGATGCTGACCTTGATAGTTTACCTGGACTCGCTAAGCTGAAGCACCCGGTCAAGCATCCTCGCCATTTGGCACGCTGTCGTGTTACGTTGCATTGCTCGTATTCGACTCTCTAGCCAGTTAGTTGGAACGCATCGGTATCTTGGCACAATCATCCAAATATACTATTCCATCCGACTACGCTATCGTGTTCTTCCTTGGTCTCGTATTCGTGGGTATATAAGAAGTTGGAATAATTAGTGATTGGTCTTTGCGTCTGTCAAGTTCGCAGCAGGACAAATCCTAAAAAGCTGTTAACAGGTTCACCAATCCTAGAATGACTGATTGTAACGAAAAACTGATAGAAAACGAAGTGCAGTATTGACGTAAAAGTCGCTAAATGACACGAGGCACCTTAAATTATCCGGATTAGATTTTGAAGGTCGAACTGGCATAAACACAAGATAGTCGACTAACTAGTTAGTTATGATGAATACTTATTAAGTCCCAACCGCTCTGAAATGATAAAGATTATTCTGCTAAAAACATTTCCATAGAGGGATTCATTGTCACGAAAGAACTGAATTATTCATTTTCAAATTTGTCAGCTAGATATTAATTACCTATAACTTAACGAGTTATTAAATGATGGGATAATCTCCCAGAACATCAAACAGAATCTTCCGGATAAAAAGCAAAGATTTTAAACAATCTGCATCACTTGAACTGACTTACCGGCTTTTCTTGCGCGTTCAACCATAAGCTCCAAGTGCATCTGCGATCTATTGCTTATACCACTGATACTTCTGGGAAGAATATTTCCATCAGGTCTTAAAAACTGTGATAAAATTCTGACATCCTAATAAGAAGACGATCGAATGACAAGTTTTAATTTACTGTGTGACGAATATTTAGTCCTAACCGAGTAATGGGATCCGTATCTCGAGGATCGCCAAAACCATCTAAACACACCACTTTTCCCTCTCGTTCTGACGGAATGATTACTCCTTCAACCTATTTTGTAAATCCGTCAGTTTACACAAAACATGTCAACCTACTGTTGTAACATTCTTGTTGACTGTATACTTTACTAAATGAATGCAAGATAAACTGCTTTCGTTGAGGAAAAACTTACCTTCTTTTTTGTTCCTAATAAGTGAAAGCGAGAAACACCTATGCAATATAGCTGAATAAAGTCTTGATGAGCGTAACTCCATAGCCATAATCATGTTTGGTTTGGTCGTATGTGATACATTTAAAGTTAAATTCTGAACAAGTTGATGTTACTCACAAGAAAATAGCTTCACCTAAAAGAAAAACTATTAATTCATTCGCATATGAAGTTTCCACCTATAAATAAATGCCTATAAGGGGGGAAGGCTAATTTAATATACAGATACTCCAATACCCTATTAAGCATCTTAGTGACGTATATGAGAAATTATACTAGTATTGGAAAGCAGAAATCATAACCTACTATGCATCCCCTCTATTGAACCTTCTCTCAGTTAAATGAATGGATTGCGGGAAACTAACAGTTTTCATCACAAAGTGACATTAGGCAATGAACTACTGGAAACCAAGAAGCATTACACAAAAGAACAGAAGTAGTATTTTGCTGGGTAAAACCCTAAAGGAAGAAATTAACATGAAACAGGCAGGTGAAAACAATTTAACGTTGAAATGCCGTCGGAAGTGGATGGGTAGTCAATATTTCTTGGCTACCTATATAAGTTGGTGCCCTCCTGAATTGCCTGTAAAGAAAGCAGCTTAGTTTTGTGCCAACGTAAAATTGATATTACGTCTTCTTTGGGCTATTCGGAACGCCTTTTGAACCTGTATCTCGGTAAGGTTCTATTCATGCTTTGAAAACCTGATCACCAGTATCAAAAAGTTGTACACCTTAGCAGAACGCCTGATTATTTGGAAAGAGGTTTTCTTTTTTTTTGAATAAGAAAGTAGAATGGTTTAAATGCTGCTTGCTCAAGAGGCCCACCTAACGACTATTACAGTGATGCTTCCCCAGCAATATGACTTCGATTCAAGGTTATCACAGCTTGAATTGCTCACTCCATGATAGCACATCCAAGTTACATCACTATCCAATCGACACTCCTAGCATGATAGGACCTCAAAGAATAGTCATCCTAGTAGCCACGTTAGTTTGATGCTTGAGAAATGTAAGCTCACGCAACATTTCAAGTTGGAAGCCATCCACTGGACAACTTTTGGGGTTTTTCCGTAGTACACTTATCTTTGATGTGGAGCGTACGTGACTCTGATAAACGATAAGCTTGCGCACAATTTCGCAACACACGACTTTACTTTAATCCTGGGTTTCGAATCCCTGCCCAAGACACAATATATGGCTGAAAATCAGCAATGTAACGCAATGATTTGCCGTGGACCTACACCTCAACGACAAAACACGTCCATAAACATAGATGTAATTATCCACGCTGTTGGTGATATGGGTGAAAATCTTGAAGTAGTGGCTATAACACTCGAAGATCTCCAGGTGAGCGATCACATAATGCTCCTTCTTTCCCTTCAAATCACCGATTAGAGTCTAGGAGTGCGTTTATGGGATGTATACCACTTCACTAACTGGTACTGTTACATCGTCATCCGTTGTTTTCACGAAATCCTTCCGACCAGTAAGAGTAAAAGAAACATTTATGAACTGTCCACTTGGATCCAAGTGGATGATCTCAGATCATCGGATATTAATATCCGAAGATCGTCAAGTGGCTATTATTATAGCCACAGCTCCAAGATTTTGACACGTATCAACAGAAGCGTGGAAAATTACATCATGATGGTTATAGACGTGATTTGTCGTTAAATTAATGTGAAGATCCACGGTGAATCACTGCTTCATACTGCTGATTTCCAGATATATATCCACTATATAGTGGGTAACACTGTCTGAAGACAGAGTGAACATTACATTCTCTTGCTTTCACACCATAATACAATTCGCGTCTGGAAAACGATGTGCAATATTCAGGGCATTAGGTACTGACAACACGGGATAACGTATACTTATACTTGGGTTAGAAAGTGGAGTTCAGAGTCAGACCATGGAGGTCTTGTGCAAACCGAAAGCAGACTAACTCATTTTATGAAGCTTTAGGAGCGGTTGGAAAATTTTGTGTAGCTAACTGCCATGTACGAAATAAGTATGCAGAACGCGGTTCCTTCATACAACACTTCCAAATGTCTGACCTTGAGGCAACGTCACTTTTCGTAAAGCGTTTGGGTAGTAGCGAAGGTCCTTCTAAACTCCAAACATCGTGTTGCAGAACTAGTGAATGATTATTCCCTGAGTTCTACATCAGTTCCATTGGAGTGAGCTCTTGGTTTGAGATGGTCATAAATATCTTTTTGGTTCTGAAGATCTTGAAAGGATAGAAATAATCAGTTATTAATTAATTTGCTGTCTATGAGTAGTGTGACTCCTGATCTGTAGGTGACAGAAGGCTTCTCCAGTACACCCCATCCGCGCCACAAGATTATGCATGCGCATCTATCCTTCTTTAGGAAATATCAGGGGAGGCAATATAAAGAGGAAACTAGGGTGGCTTCATGTGACGATCAACTCAGCCTGAACTTGATGTTTCTGTGCATTTTCATATTCCGACAAACTAATTCTGTATATTGGTTCTGTAGTCATGGGTGAGTTCCGTAGCAAATCAATTGTCCGTTTCTAATTCGTGAAAGTCGTTTCCTTGGAGTATACTTTTGGTTAGTTCTGTTATATAAGCCGTCTGCCTGAATATCTAGGCTACTAAAATTTCCATCTGTCATACTGCATCACATTTTTCTACAGATTTGCTCGTTTTAATCATTCTACTATATCTTTTGACCGCATCATATATTCACGAACATTTTCAAAAGCCTAGAGACTTCTACAATGGCAGTACCAAAAAAATGAGGAAAAGGCATCACAGCGGGTGGCACCGTGCTTTGAAGCGAATAACCCTATCTCAAATAACCCTTTCTGAAACTATAAGCAGGGAGTGAGGGTCACTGAAAGGAAACGTGGACTACTCACAATTTCTTATATCCCCCGGTGTGTACCGTAATACTGCAGTGATGCCAGTGCAAGTCGACTGAACGTTTTAACTAGGTTGGAAAGCGAACGTCTGAGTCTTCTATATTCCCAAAAACTTTTGTCGTGCAAAGGCTCTTCCAGCGTGTGGAAACTTTGCAAAGACATCACTGGAAGTAAATGCCCCGGCCAAGAAGCACATTCCTACGTCTGTGCCTCGAACACATCGTCAATTCGTCAACTTACTTGTCCGATCTCGCTTTGTTTCCAATGTAGAACGCTGTCCAGAACTCACCGCTAAAGATGTTGCCGAATGTCTAGAATCCCTGAAGCCTTCTCACGGTTCTGGTTTGGATTGCATGTCAACCTTCGTATTCATGAAGTGTCCTGATATTTAATGCTATCCTTCAGCTAACATGCTGAAGAGATCGTTTTCAGAAAACACCACACCAGCTGCCTGAAAAATATTAAGATAATCCTGGTACCTAAGTCAAGGACTTCAGGCGCATGCAAGAAATTCCGTTCGATTGCAGTTACCTCTTCACCCTGAAGAGAATGGAAAAGCTAACAAAACCTGTGCTAGAGCCCTCACTGAAGGCTTTCACAGACCCTAATCAATTTGCATGTTAAAGCGGAAGAAGAAGCACTTTTGATGCCATCACACTCTAATTGCACTATATTGCTCACCGTCTTGACAAAACTACCAAGTATGTCAGGTGTATCCCCTTAGACAATACTTTGGCATTCGGTTCTGTCCCAAGAACTTGTAGCGCCACACATTTCTGCAAAATCAATAGCCTAGGGTTGACGACTTTCGACATTGATGCTGACCTTGATAGTTTACCTGGACTCGCCAAGCCGAAGGCACCCGGTCAAGCATCCTCGCCATTTGGCACGCTGTCGTGTTACGTTGCATTGCTCGTATTCGACTCTCTAGCCAGTTAGTTGGAACGCATCGGTATCTTGGCACAACCATCCAAATATACTATTCCATCCGACTACGCTATCGTGTTCTTCCTTGGTCTCGTATTCGTGGGTATATAACAAGTTCGAATAATTAGTGATTGGTCTTTGCGTCTGTCAAGTTCGCACCAGGACAAATCCTAAATTGGTGAGCCCGACCTGATCACATATCACTACCAACGACAAATATTGAATTGGTGAGCCTGTTCCATTTTATATTTGTTTATTGTTTTCATTTCGATAACATTTATATATCCATTTACTACACTTTCTCATGTCCGACCACACTCCCAAGCTTATTCGTATTAAGCCGACCTCGAACACGATCCAACTCGTGCCATATTGGCCAGACAATGCAGAAACATGGTTTCTGTATGCCGAGGCCGATTTTCGAGAACAGGGTGTCTCAGATCCTCAATCTCGATTTCTTGCTGTCATACCTTCACTACTGCGGGAATTAAACAGCATGTTACAGCACACATGTTTAATCCTGAAGTAAGTGACCCTTGTGCACTTCTCAGGCCGCACTCTTGAAGAAAAGCGATCTCACAGATCGCCAGCGCCTAGACGAATTACTTCGTAACATCGAGCTAGGCAGCCACTCAGCTACTGAAGTCCTCGCACGCATGCGAGAAGTAATCGGTGCACGAACATTCAACGATGGACTTTTCCGAGAACTATTTCCCTCAAAACTACCACAACCGGTGCAAACCGTGTTGGCGACACTGCAGTCAGTCCCACCAGATGACCTGGCAGCCTCAGCAGATAAAATACTGGAGATTTCTAGCAGACCCGTCTCCAACGTATATTCTATCTGCGACAAACCAGAGCGCCAGGATTCGGAGGTGACGAAGTTGTGCAACTCTGTTAAAAGTTGCTACGATCTCGAAGTCCTAGTTCCCGTAGCGTCTCACAGAAACGCATCTTAGCGCATCACAGCAGCCCACGTAATTGCCCGAAACTAAACCTAACAGGGCTGAAAACTCTTAATGGTGTTGGTTTCATGATACTTACGGAGACGAAGCCAAAAATGCCGGGAACCATGCAGTTTTAACAAGGACACAAACTCGGGAAACGGCCACGTCGGCACGTGTTCACGGCAACCGTAGCCGGCGGAGACAGCCTTTCTGCTCGCACTGACAAAGGAGCGTCATCATGGCCCATCCTTCATTCTCCAATCAGCCAACGGCAAGGCAGTCGCGGCATTTGGGA